CTTGCCTGACTGCTCTGGCTAGGACTTCCAATACTATGTTAAATAAGAGTGGAGACAGTGGGTATCCTTGTCTGGTTCCTGTTCTTAGCAATTAAACTTTTAATTTTGATGTAATTGTAGATACACATGCAGATGTAAGAAATAGTACAAATGGATCCTGTGTACTTTGTACTCAGATTCTCACAATGGTAACATCTTGTAAAACTACAGTGCACTATCACGCCCGAGACAGGACACTGACACACCCCACAGATCTCACTCAGATTCCCCAGTTGTCCTCACAGTTATTTATGTGTGTGTATGTGTGTTTAGTTCTATGCAGTTTTATCACATTTGTAGGTTCACGTATCCACCATCACGGTCAAAACACAGAAGAGTGTCATTACTTCAGGATCCCTTTCCTGCCTTTTGTAACCTCACCCACCTCCCTCTGCCCAGCCTCTGGCAATGACTAGTTACTTCTTCATCTCTGTACTTTTCTCATTTTAAGAATGTTATATAAATGTATTCCTGTAGTATATAACTGCTTGGTATTGGCTTTTTTTCACTTAGTATGATTCCCCTTAGACCCACCCAAGTTGTTGTGTGTATCGATAGTTTGTTTTTTTCACACCATGGAATGATACTGCTCCATGGTGTGGATGGACTACAGTCTACTAACCATTCACCCACAGAAAGGCATCTGGGCTGTTTCCAGTTTGGGGCTATTATGAATAAGGCTGCTGTGAACATTTATGCATAGGTTTATGTGTAAAATAAGTTTCATTCCCCCGGGATAAATGTGCAGGTGTGCAATTGCTGGGTCATACGGTGAACCCAGGGTTAGTTTCGCAAGAAGCTGCCAGACCCTTTTCCAGAGCGGCTGCACTGTTTTACACTCCTGCCAGAAATGTGCAAGATATCCAGTCTCTTCACATCTTTGCCAGCATCTGGGGTTGTCATTAAATGTATATTTTTTGTTTGAATCATTCTGATTGTTTTTAATTGGCATTTCTTTAATGGATCATGATGTCAAACATCTTTCATGTGCTCATTTGCCATCTGTATATCCTCTTTGGTAAAATGTTTTTTGCTGTTTTCTAATTGGATTGTTTGTAGTTTTACTGTTGAGTTTTGAGAGCTCTTTATATATTCTAGCACTAGTCCTTTGTTGTATATGTGGTTTGCAAATAAATTCTCCCAATGTGTAGTGTATCTTGTATCCTTCTAGCAGAGTCTTTGCAGAGCAAAAGTTCTTTGATTTTGATTAAGTCCAATTTATCATTTTCCATCATGGATGTACTTTCAGTGTCATGACTAAGAACCCTTTACTACCTGCTGGATCCCCCAAATTTTCTCCGAAAATTTTTAAGTGTTATGTTTTACATTTAAGTCTTGATTAATTAAATTTGAGTTGATTTTTGAGTAAAGTGTGAGCTTTAGGTCAAGATTTTTTTCTATGGATGTCCAAATGCTTTAGCACTGGGTGTGGAAAAGGCTACCATTCCTCCATGGATTATACAGTAAGCCTCAATTAATATTGGGTACTAGGATTCCCCCCACTTTATTTTTTCAAAACTGTTTTAGTTATTCCAGGGCCTGTCCCTCTCCATATAAATTTCAGAACACACACAGATTTTTAAAGGTTAGAAAATGTTCACAATGTATCCCCACAGACCCAATTTAAATCTTTAAGTAGAAACAGTACCTTGGATCCTTGCTCTCAAAGTCACAGAAGACTGTGGGTGAAGGTTAGGAAGGCTATCCAGCATTCACTCATAATGCTGACAGTATACGTAGCAGAGACCCAAGAGATCACCTAAGCCAACCCTTGTGGATAAGGAAACTGAGTCTGGGGAGTCTTATTCCAAGGTTCAGGGTTGGTAAGTATCAGAGGGGAATAGAACACAGGTGTTCTAAACTTCTAGTTTTTCCTCATTTGTCTCACCCGCCCACAGTAACTTCTCATCTTGCTTCCTCTTGGTCTTGGTCTCCTTCTTAAGCCCCCTTGGCCAGCAGTGCAAACCCACATGTGTGCAAATAAAATGATAAATAACATGCTGGAACTTACTTCCCCTGGAATCAGGTTCTTTGCCCTTAAACCTGAAATTAAAAAGGGAAGAAATTTCTACATGTAAACAGCACCTTTCACACCCAAAGTCTCCACCACAGGCCTCCTCCAGCTCTCCAGCATACAAACACACGCAGAGCGCCTGGGGCCTCCCAGGTGTGAGGCGACTGAATTACATGGCCGCCTGCAGGGCGGGAATTCTCCAGGTCTCTGAAACACTGGGCTGGGCCTGAGAGGGCGCCTGGTAGGCTCCTTGTCACTCCTGGCTGGGCTCCAGTGGTGGACTCCACACTGCTAGGCTGATGGAGCCCCCTCAGCCCTGAACTCTCTAGCCCATTGACCTTTCCAGTTTCTTAATTACATTTTCAAAATTTTTCTTTCACAATTTTTTCAGTATCTGAAATAATCTTATTTGCGCAATTATTTATTTACTTCTGCCACACTTGCCTCTCCTTTGAGGACAGAGATTTTTATATATTCTTCAATATTGTATCCACAGCACCTAGAATATTGCCTGGCCCATAATTGGCACTCAGTAAATATTTATGAAATTGAAGAAGAACAAAGGGTTTGGCCGAAGATGGGGTAGTGAAAAGAAGGATACATTTGGAAACATTAAAATTAAGAACTTCTTCATCAAAAGATACCATGAAAGAAGGAAAAAGGCAAGCCATGGAATAGGAAATGATGTTTGTGGCACATTTAACCAACAATGGATTGTATCTAGAATATATACGATCAGTAAGAAAAAGACTTCCTCATGGACAAATGAACAAAAGATTAGGTCAGACATGTCCCCAAAGAGGATATCCAAATTGTCAAAAAGCATATAAAGGTTTCTCAGCCTCTTTAGACACTGGGGAAATGCAAATTAAGACCACAGTGAGATACCTCTGGCCACCTAGCAGAGTGGCTAAAATTAAAAAGACTGACAATATGGAGCAAATGTTAATGAGAATGGGGGCAAAGGAAACTCTTAAGGAGGGAATGTAAATTGGCACAATCACTTTGGAAAAACATCTGACAGTATCTAGCAAAGCTGAAGATGTGCATCCCGCAATGACCCAGCCGTTCCACTCCTGGGAAAGCGCCCAACAGAAACGCACGTGCAAGTGCAGGAGGCACTGGGCGCCAGTGGTCCCAGCAGCCCCGTTCATGACAGACCCAAACTGAGAAAGCCCCGGAGTCCAGCAGCAGCCGACTGGTAAACATTTGTGGTGTTCAGACTCACAGTAATTATAGAACAATAAAAATGAAAAAACATTAGGTACACAGCACAAGGATGAGTCTTAACATAATTAGAGCAAAAGAAGGCAGACAATGGAATGTCTTTAAAGAAACAAATTACAGGACACAAAATCACATACAGTGAAAGCCTCTATAGACGGCATGGTCATGACCATGTTAAACATACAAAACTTGTTTCCAGAAAGAAGCTGGAAAAAGGTTTAACAAAATATTAAGAGTGATTGTTTCAGGCTATTGGAATAGCACTGTGAAAGGACAAAATGGGAATGATGACTAAATTCCTTGCAAGTTACCAACAGTCACAGCCCACAGCCGGCCCTCCCAATAGCGGCCACAAGATGGAGCCTCGTATCTCCGAGTTGAGACTCGGTTCCAGTGCTGCCCAGGCCTTCGGCCGGCCAGAGAGCAGGCTTTTCCCGTGTTGTCCACTGGAAGGAGCGGGTGCGGTGGCCTCAGGCAAACACCTGGACAGCCTGCATGGGCTTTACCCAGCACGAGGTGATTGTAAGTGCCCAGCAAAGGGCCAGGCATGAAGCGGGTGCTTAATAAGTGTTAGTTCCTAGTCCTCTCTCTCTTTAAAAGCTTACCAGAGGAGAGGGAAGGCCTAGTGTGCTTGCGCATCAGAACATGTGTGAAGATGAGAGAGCAGCAGGCACGTGAACACAGGGACAGTGCGCATGCTCCCTGACAGGAGGCCCGCAGGAGCACCAGGGTGGCTGACACCTGCAGGAGGGAGGGCACAGCCTGAGGTCGGACTCAGTCCAGTGCTGCTAGGTGGGGGCTGCAAGAGGGACAACTTACTAAGGGTGGGGGCTCACCAGGACCCTCGAGGGGTTGTACAGCGGGGCCTACATGCACTGGGCCTGCTTGGGAGCTAACTCTGGCCCTGACGTCCTTCCGCACCAGCACAGCGCCGGGCACACAGGAGACACGGCACCTATTTGTCTGAAGAAGCAAAGGAGTGAGGGCCCACAGATGCAGGAGTACACAGGCCAAAGGGAAGGTTACTTGCACAGTCCCACAAGTATTCTTTCTGGAATTTCCAAAAAGCTGCCTCCTTCTGAGGGCAGCCTGACTTGTGAGAAATTCCAAGCTCATATACCCTTCCTGTGCCTGCTCCAGCGCCACAGTACCCTGTCCTGGGTGGGTATCCTTGCTCTGGGGAGAGACCATTTTACTAGGAATTTCAGAAGCTCCAACAACTACTTTCCCACTCCTTACACTGAAACAAGCTCAACTGGATCAAATTTAAATTTTAAAAATAAACCCATAAAAATACTAGAAGACAACACTGGGAAATTTCTATTTTTAAATTTCACAGTGGAGAAGGATGAAGGCTGACACAAAAAAGTCGGTGTCAACCACCCAATGGAAAGTAGGCAAAGACTATGAACAGGTAGTTGACAGAGAAGGGAATTCAATTAATGTGAATTATACAGGAAAAAAGGAGCAACACAAAATAAAATTATAGTAAAATGCCAGTTCCCACTTGTTAGTTGGGCACATTCCAAGAAGCCGGTCACACACTGTGTTGACCAGGGTGGGGGCACTCTGGGAGGGTAACCAGGCAATCTCCCCGGAAGGCAGCTTGGCCGTCCCACCTCCCTTCTCCCCTCACTTAGGAAAACTTGCCCCGTGGTTCTCTCCTTCTCTTGCCTTGAGAGGTAAATAAACAGGTTGGTGGCAGTCACAGATAACTCACCTCACTGCCAGGAAGCTCCCTGAGCGATGGGGCTGTGCTCAGGCCATGGTGATGCTGGCGTCTTTCCTCCCTCTCTTCCTTCTGGTCATCCTGGTCTCCTGTCTGCAGAGAAAGTAGGAGGCTTGTCCCTGCCCTGGGGGTCTTGGGCCTTTCAGGGGCCTCTGAGCTGCTATCCACATCGCGGTAACTTCCAAGAGAAACCATGGAGTGGAAATCTGCCCGCTGAGCACCAGGCCTGGCGCTCCAGGGCTTGGGGGTCATGGGTTTGCAGGGCATGCCTTGGCTGCCATATGCCAAGCAACAAGCAGAGCTGGAGGGGAGGGTGTGGCTCATCCCAGCCTGCTGGACATGAGGGTTGACGGGCGAGATCAGCCAGGACTTCGCAGGAAAGATAGCTGAAGGCAGGTACCTACCACTTTCCTGGGGGCTTGTACATTTGATGGTTGGTTCACTTTTTCTCCTGTTATCTGGAGAGACCAAACTGCTGGTTGACACTGGTGTGGGGGACTGAGAGGGTGCCCAGTGATCTCTAACAACATAGCTCTCCTTGTCCCCTGCCTGCTCCACGCAGTGGCTGTTGATCCCTGGTGGGGAAGGTCGGAGGGGATTTGGGATCTCCTGTCCTGCAACCAGACTCACTGAAGAGGGCCTTTTTGGGCGTTGTGCGTCTTTGCTTTTCAGAAATGAACGCCAGGAACTCTGGCGCGGCCTGCTCCTCTCCTTCTGGCCCTTGACAGAACCTGGGGAACATTCACCAGTGTCTTCTTTCTCTACAACTTTTGACTCAAAAAAATTTGCAAAGGTCTTATGAGCTAAGGACAACCTTGCCCTGAGCCTCTTCTGTGGAGTTTTGAGTCTCTTGGCGTCGCAGCTTTCTGAGGACGTTCTCCTGCTACCGAGGTCCCCTGGCGTCTCCACGTGGCCCCCTTCTCTCAGCCCTGCGGCTCCCTCGCCTGCGCCCTGGAGGGCCATCTTCGGAGAGGCGCTCGCGGCCGCCGTGAGTGGAGAGGTCCCGGCCCCGCCGGACGCCCCCTGCCTGCCGGCCGCAGCGCTCAGATCCCTGGCGCGGGGCTCCTCGAGGCCTGCGGAGGCCACGGCGCGGGTGGGCTGCGGACGCCCGGCTCCCTGCGCGCCGGCGCCCCCTCTGGGGCCCGCGGCGGCCGAGGGCTCGCTCCTCCCGAGGGAGGTCACCTCGTGGGGCGCCAGGCGCCGGCCGGGCCCCCGCGAAGCCTCGCCGAGCCGGCGGGGCAGTGCGCGCGGCAGGACCGCGGGGGCGCGGGTCCCGCGTGCGTCTTCGGGCCGGGGGCCGGGCGCCCTGGCAGCGTCCTCCCTGTTGGCCCCAGGCCCCGGGCTCTGGCCCGCCCCAGGCGGTTTCTCGTCCGCAGACCCCTCTGTGCTCAGCACACCCCCAGCGCGCTCCTGGGAACAAATCTCTCCTCTACCCGGGGTCCTCTCTTCTGAAGCAGCTTGGGGGACCTTATGTCCCCCCGCAGGCTCTGCGGCTTGGGCCGCTGGCTGAAGAGCCCCATCAACCCCTCCCGGTCTGCGGGCTGCTGGCAGCTCACACTGATCGCCATAGGTTTGTGGTTTCCCAGCCCTGGGAGACTCCCAGGGAGTCGCGCCAACTCTGCGGGGAGGTTCTGGTCTTTCCTCCAGAAACTCATGGGACTGCGTTTCTGGAAGAGGACCCACTTTCCTCCTGGTGGCCTGCAGACCCTTCTGCTCAACAGCTATAATGATGAGTGTGCACCTTCCCCTGGAAGATGTGTCTGCTTTGGGCTCCAGCTGCAGGCCCTCCGCCAAGGGCGTGGCACCACGCTCAGGCCCCTGTTCACACTCCTCACACCCCCAGTGACACACGGTGGCTGCTGTTATTTCTGAAAAACCCTGCAAGACATTTTTCATGCAGTTGGGGTCTAGAACCATCACGTCTTCTGCTTCCTTTGAAGTGTCTGTTGCACTTGATTTCAGGGTGGTCTCCGGGGTGTCTGAACATTCACTCACTGTGGTGCAACCCATGCAGGCTCTGTTCCACACCTGTGACCCGCTATTGCTGGAGTGATGTGAAAACTTGGCCCTAGCAGGTGGCTTTCTTTTCTCACTAAGAACATAGTTTGATGTGGAATTACTGGTTTGGTTTCCTGCCTCAACAGAAATATCCTGAAGGTGCCTTTGTTTATCATTCACAGCAGCGTTTGGTGCAGGGCCAGTGCCTTGGGCTTCCTCGGGTCTGATTTCTGGGCTGTGTTCCGACTTGCACTCTGCAGGCGCTGGCACTTCCTCTGCAGGGAGGCTCACCAGCTCCTCAGTAAGGCATGAAGAAACTGGGCAGGACCTAGAATCCCGTCCCAACTGGTTTTCCAGCCAGAGATGTTCAGAGGGCCTGTCCTGAAAGGCCCTTTTCCAGCCAAGAGCACTGGGTTTGTACCGATCTTGCAAATAGGGAGCCCTCCTTTGGGAACCAGGAAGCAAGTGAGACGGTAGGGTGTGAACAGGGTGAAGAAGGTTTTGTGTTCTTGGATCTCGTTCTGTTTCTGTCCTTTCCTTCAAATGAGTCCCAAACTTCACAAAGTTCTTCCCTGGAGGCCCCTCAGGGTATCTTAAGGGAAGCCCTCCTATGGAGTGGACCCTGGTCAATGTCCTCATGTGCTGACAGTGGTGCCCTGGGGATGCCCTGCCCTTGTCAATATTTTCTGGGGCACTATGGCAAAGCTTGGCATATAGCAGGCAAGATGTCCCTAAAGGAAGCTGGCAGGGGACATCAAGGCAGGGCGGGGAGCAGAGCAAGTCTGTGTTCATTGCCAGCACTGGAGTACTTCCCTTCTCTGTCCTGGCTCCCGGAGAGGCTACGCTGTCCAGCGGGCCTCTGAGAGGCAGCCCTGGTCCCCTGGCCCCGCTGTGGATGCGTGGCCAGCTCCGGCACAGGTCACAGCACGGGGGAAGGAAGGACCAGGCCCCCCGGATGCGGAGACAACTCTCAGACCTGGATTTCTGACGAGAAAAAATGGAGAGCCCCCTCAGGTCTTGTACAGTCACTACTTTTGGTGGCTGGAGGCTGTGGCTGCCTGTGGCACCCTCTGTGGGGTGAGGAGCCCCTGCCAGCGAAGCCTTCTGCGCCAGGCTGGCCACGCTGTCACCAAGGTGTTCTGCCTTCCCTTCTCCAGCAACTGCGGGAAAGGCTCGGAACCCACTTTTGTAAGACTCTTCCTTGAAGTCAAGAGACAAATCTCGTTCTTCCTTTGGAATAAGCCCAGGGACACCAGTCGAATGCTGCTCTCGAGGAGGTCTGGCTGCTGGGATGTCAGGGCATCCCCAGGGTGCATCTGTGTCCACAGAGGTGCCACTTGGAGGGAGGCAGAGTCTGCCTGTGAGGTCACCAGGCAGCGACTCTGTGTCGGAAGCACTTTCAAAGGGGTCAGTTTTTGAGTCTGATTGACTTTCACTTTGGTGGGACAGTGTCTCAAAATCGTCATGCTCTGTTTCCTGGCTGCATCCCTGTTCCTCTGGTTCTGCAGGAGAAGGGTGAAGCTGCTTATCTTCGATCTCACCTTCACCTGGCAGATGTGCACCTGGTTCTGGAGTCTGGAAGAAGAAGAGAGGAGTCAGAGACGAGGCCTGAGGCCATCAGCACACATGTTCACATGGCACCCACCTGTGTCAGGAGGAGAAAGGCTCGGAAGCATCTCAGTAGTTCCCTATATGTCCCTAGGAAAAGAGAGGAAAATAGGAAGAGCTACCTTTTAGTAACAGAAAAAACAAATGATGAAGCCAAACCCGAACAGCAGGGAGAAAATGTAGCACATAGTGAAAACAGCCCTGTTACAAAATCAGGACAGGCCGAGTGAGCATGTGCAGGTTAAGGCAGTATCAATATGTTGTATGAGTCATGGTGGGAAGCATATTTCTACCTCATGTTTTCAGCAAGAAAGAACAAATTAATATATGTTTGCTTTGTGTTCTGTATGTTCTTATGTAACCGGACGGATTGAAGTCAAGGTCTTACACTTAGAAGGGTTTTCTGAGTTATGTTTGCTGGAGGAAAACAAAAACAAAAATAAGAATAACTGAAAGCGCAAACACATTTTGAGATATTCTATAAACGCCCATGACAGCTTTGAGACAGAAAAAAAAATAGAGAACTATGCAAGTATTGGCAGATTTTCCTCTCTCATTACACATTTCTTAATCAACTTGTTGAGATATAAATTTATATGTATCTATTTAAAGTGTACAGATCTATGCATTTTTTTAGATCTATGCATTTTAACAAACGTGTACACCCGTGTAACTATGCCCATGATAAAATTTAGAATATTTCCATTTCCTAAAAAAGCTCTTACCCCTTCCTGGACAGTCCTCACCTCCCCTCTGCTCCTCCCCTTCCTGTCACACAGTCTAGATTTGTCCTTCTCAGAGTTTCAGATGACAGAATATGCAGGATGTATTCTTCGGGGTCTGGTTTCTTCCTCTCAGCATACTGGTTTAGAGATTCATCCATGTACTGTGGTTGTAGCATGTATTAGTCATACAATGCCCTGAACTTTATGATAATGCTATACTCAACATTCAACTATCAAACTCCCCAAAGATTCCCCAGGCCAGGGATGGGGCAAGCACTCAGCCCCACTTCTAGCTAAGGCTACTTCACACAAATTGTGCACAGAAGCCACTCAACAAGTCCCTCTCAAGCATGTTTCTCAAGACTTTTCATAAGAGATCTCTCAAAGTCAAATTGCTTTTAATCCTCCTTAACTTAAAGACAAATACCAAAGCATGTGATGTTTGAGGCTTTTAAGGGGCAAGGTAGATTCAGAAAATCAGGAGTAATACGATACTATAATTTCAAATACGTTCCAAAGCAGGAATGAGTTGGGAATAAGAAAGGAAACATTAAAAATCAAACCATTTGGGAAGGAGGCCTGTGTGGATGTTTTGTGGTGTCCACGAGGAGAGAAGAGCTAAGGAAGCCAGGGTCTCCCACGAGTCCACCGCAGGCACTTGCTCCCGTCGCGCGGCTCCCAGGTGCCAGGCGCCTCGACTGTACAGCAGGAATAACAGCCTCGGTCTACAGACCTCCCACATCACGGCAAGGGCGAGCAAGATTCGGATGTGAACATGCCTTGGCAAGCACAGAGGATATGCAATGGCAAATTTGCATTGTCACGAACAAGTGAATGGAGACGGCCGGCTACAGGCCCTGCAGAGCGCGCCTGCTCAGCAACTCCTGCCTTTAAGAGCACCTCTGTTCCGTCATCTTGCCAACGGTGCTATTAAACTGAGAGCTGACCTCCTGCCTGTAAAGCGTTTGAGTAGTCCTTTCAACGTTGTCATAGCTTGGTGTAACTTTATGGACTCATGTTGGCATCAATATTCGCAGGCTTCAAGCCCAGAGAATTCCAAAGTCCCAAGTTCCAGGTGACAATGATCTGGACATTGACTCTGCCAAAGTGCCAGAGGGCTCATTCCTGTCCCCTGCTCAGCATCATGGGCTGCAGCCAAGGGACTGGGCTCCCTGGCTGGGTCCTGCTGAGGGTCAAACCTTTCTTTGAGTTCCAGGTATTTTGGCAAGAGGTTGCACTCTGTCTCAATGAAAATAAAAGCCTTTGTGGAATAAAAAAATAACTCTCCCAGATTACAAACTTGGTGTAGTTTATGTAAAAGCACCGGAATAGCAGGATTAATACTGCTTCAAGTGTATATGCTGAAACATGAAGAGTACATTTTTTTAAAAAAAGCATTTGCTTTGGTTGACTATTAGATTCTAAATCTCATGAAGAAAGAATATTTTCTTCCTGAGTTGACTCAAAAGTAATCCTCACATAATTCCTTGGCATTAGTCCATATATTTCCCGGCTTATCCCTGAGGGATGGCTCGGGGTGCAATCCAGAGGCCAAGCTATTCTTTCTGCTGAAGTTCAGTTTTTTGTGGGGTGAGAATCTTTGTAAGCAGAAAAGCTCTCTGTAGGTTGTCACAGGCCTGGCCCTTCCTGTCTTATTTCTATAACTATGTGTGGCTTCAAACACTGGGCAACATGTGTGGGCTGCCTTCTGTAGGAAACAGAGCTGCAGTGGGTTTTTGCACAGACTGGTGAAGTGGTGACAAACAGTACATCAGGGAGATGAGAATGGTGTTCACAAACAGGCTCCAGCATCCCACGCCATCCCTCCTAACTTTCACTTCTGTCCTCTCTGCTGTCCCTGGCAACCAACCTCCCTGGATGGGAATTCCTGCCCTCCTTCGTCCTCTCCCTTCTCAGATCCTCATTGACACAGTTTACATTTAATCTCCATGCTTCCTCATCTCCCATTCACTTTTTACAAAAATCTTAGTATTTGAGGACAGGACATAATATCCCTTCTAACTACAACTTCCGTCACGCGTGGTTAGTTTTAATATGTGATATTTGCATTATTTTGCAATTTTAATTTTTTTCTAACATTATGATATGCTCTTTGACCCATGATTTATTTAGAAGCATGTTTTAGTTATCCTTTTGTTTCTGATTTCTATTTAATTACATTCTACTCAGAGAGTGTGGTCTGTATGATATTGAGTCTTTGCAATTAGTTGAAACTAGCTTTCTGGCATAGCACGAGGTCTGTCTCATAAGTGTCTCATGGGTGCTGGAAAGAATGTCTATTCTCTATGGTGCACGCAGGCTCTAGGAAGTGTTCATTAGATCAGTTGTATTGAAATCATCAGTAATTTGACTAGTTTTTCACTTGCTATTAAGAGAAGTGTGTTGAAATCACCCACTGCAGGGGTGCATTTGTCCATTTTCTCCTCTAATCCTGCCCTCTTTTGACTTATGTACTTCAGTGTCATGTTAGCAGGTGTGTGAACAAGTTCAGAAGGGATACATCTTCCCGGTGAGTGGTCTTTGTATTACTACATAGTGACCCTCTTTACCCCTAAGGAAGATTTCTCCTTTAAAGGCTGTCTTCTCTAATATTAATATACCTCTACCAGCTTTCTTTGGGTATTTGCCTAGTATATATTTTTCCATTGCTTTATTTTCAATCTTTCTATATTTCTTAAGTGTGTTTCTCATAACTAACATATAGCTGGGCTTTCAAAATCCAACATTTCAATCACTTTTAAACCAGAGAATTTAACCAGCTAGGATATATTGTGGTCATTGATGTATCTGGCTTGCTTTCTTCTACCTATTTCATCCTTTTTCAGCTCTTCCTATTGCTTCCACCCTGGGAATTTCCCTTTCTTTTTGTGAATCCAACTATGGCTTATTTAAGAGCATATGTTTAAAGGTATGTTATACCTTATTTCTACAGGTTTTTGGTGCAGCGAGCATTTTGGGAATTACGCAGTCTGCAGTCATTCTAGAATCAGCAGTTGCCGTCCCTGGGCTTGCCGCAATTTGCTGTCCCCACACTCACTGACTGGTTCACTCTGGCATGGTGCCCGAATGACTCTGCATTGCTAAATCCGAGGCTCTGGGTTTTCTTTCTTTTTTTCTGCCTATTTAATTTTTTACAACTTTATTGAGGTATAAGTGACATAAAATAAACCACACATATTTCAAGTGTACAATTAAAGTTTTTACGTGTATCTGTGAAATCATGACCACAATCAAGATACTGAACATTTCTCTTGCTTCCACAAGTTACCTCATGGTTCTCTGTAGTCCCTCCCTCTCGTCCCCACCGTGCCTCTCCCTGGCCGCCCTCCTGCATCCCAGGCCATTTTTATTTGCTTTCTGCCACTGTAGATTAATCTGCATTTTCTAGAATTCCACATAAATGGAATCATGCAGTATTTATTTTTTGTCTGGCTTTTTTGACTCAGCACTGTTACTTTGAGATTCCTCTAGTTGAATTTGTCAGTAACACTTGTTTTATTGGCAAGTAGTGTTCTATTGGGTGGATATGCCACACGTGTTTATCCATCCACTGCTCGTGGACATTTGAGTTAGTCTGAGTTTCTGGCTCTTCACATAAAGCTGCAGTGAACGTTGTGGACAGGTCTTTGCATGGATGTGTGCTTTCATTTCTCTTGTGTGAATACTGAGGAGTGGAGTGACTGGGCCAAGTGGTAGGGGTATATGATTAATTTCTTAAGAAACTGAAAACTGGTTTCCATCCCCTTTTAGACTCCCCCCCAGCAGTGTCTCAGAGTCCACCTGCTCCCCAGCCTCCCCCACGTCTGGTATGGTCAGTTTTGTTAGCGTCAGCCATCCTAGTGGTTGTGAAGTGGTATCACATTGCAGTCTTACTCAGCACTTTCTAATGACAGACGATGTTGAGCACTTTTTCATATGTTTTTTTTCCATCTGTAGATCTTCTTTGGTAAAGTGTCAGTTCAAATGTTTTGCCCATTTAAAAAAATTGGGTTGTATTCTTATTATTGAGTTGTAAGACCTCTTTATATATCCTAGATATAAGTCTTTTGTTGGATATATGCTTTGCAAATAGTTTCTTCTAGTCTGTGGCTTACCTTCTCATTTTATTAACAATTCTTTTTAATTTGAAGAACAAAAGGGTTTAATTTTGATGAAGCCCAATTTGGGGGCTTTTGTAGGTCATGTTTTTTGTGTGTCAATTTTAAAAACTCTTTCCAACCTCACGTAACTAAGACTTTTTCCTGTAGTTTCTTCTAGGCCATGGTAGACAGAATTATGCCCTTCTCCCCCAAGATGTCCATATGCTAATTCTGAGAGCCTGTGAACCTTGGCTTTTTTGGCAAAAGGGACCTGGCAGATATGATTATGTTAAAGATCTCGGGTTGGATATTATCCGGGATGATGTGGGTGGGCCCAATGTAGTCACACAGGTCCTATTAAGGCAAAAGCAGAGGCAGGAAAGTCAGAGGAGGAGTTGTGATGTGGGAGCAGAAATCAGAGCAATTCAAGGAAGGGCCATGAGCCGAGGAATGTGGGCAGCCTCCAGAAGGGAACACAGCCCGGCTGACACCTTGATGTTAGCCTAAGTGAGGGTTTGCCATGACTGTCTGACAATGGGAAAGAGCAGCAGCACCGGCGTGAAGACAAGGACTGTGTAACTTAGAGCTCCGATGCCCGGCAGAGAGCCTGGCGTCACAGTGTGGGGGCGTCCGTTCTCTCACTGCTTTAGTCTGCATTTCCGTCAGTGGCTGCCACCTGCCAAGTGTGCTTATCTCACTGGAGTTTGGGAAGTTGAAAGAAGGATATCGTAGCCCTCTGAAAATTCTAAATATTCTCCTACCTTCCACTCTCATTTACGGCGATTTCTCTATGTTAAACGTGGAGATTAAACACACCTCTGTCAGTTCTTTTCGCAACTAGCTTGGTCACAAATATCCTGGGGACAGAAATTATGTCACATACTTTGTTGTCTCCCATAGTTTCCAGTGCAGGGCTGGTCCAGAGTAAACGCAGAATAAACGTTTGAGGATTGCAGAACTACACCGAATCACACTGCCGCGGATGACTATTGTAGCTCTGTGGCCATCATCTTATAAGCATCTTAAATGCACAGGACGTTTTTTCCCAAACATTCTATTCAAAGGTACATTCTGATTTGTTTATTTTGTTATTTTTTTGGTGAGGAAGAGTAGCCCTGAGCTAACATCTGTTGCCATTCTTCCTCCTTTTGCTTGAGAACCATTGTTGCTGAGCTAACATCTGTGCCAGTCTTCCTCTATTTTCTGTGGGATGCCGCCACAGAGGGCTTGTTGAGCAGTGTGTAGGTCCACAGTTGGGATCTGAACCTGCAAACCTGGGCCGCTGAAGTGAGGTGTGCTGAACTTAACCACCATGCTGCCGGGCTGGCCCCTACATTCAGATTTACATGCACATTTTCCACTTACTATGTGCATTAGACCTGTGTCAACAGAGGCAGAAGTATCTTCTTATTTTTTGTTTTCCAATCTGAATATATTTTACTACAGAAATGAAATATTTTACTATTCTACTTGAGTAAAGAAGTTTTTTTTAAAAAAGGGAAGTCTTATTCAAGTAATTGGAGTTGAACTGCAGCTCCTCCTGAGGCCTCAGACGAGACGGAGGTGCCCACATTGTAGTCCGTCTCTAGTTGTTCAGGGAGCTCCCTGGCAATCCCTCCAGAGTCCCGGCTCATGGCCGGTGAGTTTTTTCCAGTAAGTATTTGTCAAGTGAATTAATGCAGAGAAGGCAGTGACAGTTACCTGGTGGGCGTGGGGAGAGGCTGAAGAAGAACTGGAAGAAAGTTGAGGAGGTCTGAGGAATCCCAGAAGCTTTTTTCTTGCCTTAATTTCAGAACAAGCTTCCATATTTCCTACAGTCATATTTGCTCACTTAGCTAACCTCACTTCCCCACAAATTCCTGACATTTGCACCTGAGCTGATCATATTTATCTTTTCATCATCTGAAAGATATGGGTTTCCAGGTCAATTATTCACACTGACTGGGTTACAAGGAGGATGTGTTCCCTTCGCTGTCCAAGGACTCGAGGAGTTTCCACCTCACGGCACCCACATAACGCACTGGCCTTTTACCCATTTGTTACACAAAGTGACAGTGCTTCTACCTGGAAGGAACTTTTGGGCAGTCAATGGGACGGTACAACATGATCCTGGAAGTACGACTGTTATGTTTATTTAAGAAGATTCTAGAATCCCAATTGGCCTTTCCTCTTAATTAGTCCCAATTCTATACTCTCAGGCTGGATTTCCACATATACTAGACACTTTCTATTTTCAAGCCCTGTAGTTATCTGCTACCTCATCTGATTTTTCTAAGAGGGCTCAGATGCATTTGCCAAAATTCTGGATAGAGTCACTCAAGAAGTTGCCCTTTACCAGGAAGTGTTATGTACCAGAAACTGTATCAAACAAAAGACACATAAAAACAAAGCCCCTTCTACCAGAGCAGTTGTGAACTAACAAGCGAACAAGTACCTACCCAACCAGCAAAATTAGAATGTGCTCTACGCTCCACTAATAGTAGCAATGAGAACTACACACACAGGAAAATGATTGATTTCATGGGGAGGAAGTTTTCAGAGGGCTGTGCATCTGAGCTGTGATATGAGAGATGAAGTTTCGTGGGCACCAAGGTGAAGTGTGAAAGTGGGAGTTAGTGAGTAGGTCGGGCCAACTTGGGGCAAAGTAGCAAAAACTGGTCCTTAGTGTTCTCCATCTCTTCTAAGTCAAGTCAGTGTGTGTTTACCTACTCTGTACCCATCTTTGCTACCACACCTGTGTCTTAACACATTACGTTGCAATAATCAGTATCCTTTAATAACGTTGAAGGCTGGAGCGCACAGGTGAACCAAGCAGACCTCATCATTGCCCCCAAAGACACACACAAACAACAAACAAGGACACGTGCAGATGTAACTACCCATTGAGATGAGGGTTATGAAGAGAAAAACCCAAGGGGCGATGAGTGGTTAGGGCAGGGCTTTCTAGGAGGAGCTCAAGCTGAGGCATGAAAGCAAGGCAGGGGCCAGCAGTGGGAATGGTTAGGGAGAAGGACATTCTAGGTTGAGGGAAGGGCATGTATGAAGGCTCTAAGGCCCAGAGACCTTGGCTTGAGTTAACCAAAACGATGGGCCACTGTAACATCGTGGGTGAAGGGAAAAGGGGGCAGAGGCCAGACATTATGGGGGCTTGTAGGTGGGCTGAGGAGTTGAATCTTATTCTGAGTTCAAAGAGGAAGCCAATAAAGAGTTTAAAACAGGGAGTAGCAGCTTCGTGTGGTGTATCTTTACAGAGTCACCCTAGCTCTGTGAGGAGGAGGAGTCAAGGCCAGTCAGGAAGCTACTGCTGAGGGTTACTTTGCTTCTCTGTTAGACTCCAGTGTCTCACGGGTGGCACCTACCAAGGACGCCCTATCACCTGGCTCTGTGCCCTCAGGTTGGCCCCCACAACCCTTCCCCCACCGACGACTCCAGGTTGTGAATTGGCTCACCTGAGGAACTAGCGTGACTCCCTCCCCAGTGGGAAGCAGGCATTTAACCGCAGCTTTGAGAGGTAAAAGAGTAGTGAGTCTCCTCGTGAGGAGAATTAGAAATTCCGCCAAACTACTGCCACTGACCTCCTGGGTGACTTTAGCAACTAACTGCCCCTTTATGCACCTCAGGTCCTCATTTGTAAATGAAGCCAAGTGACTAAATTAGCATTTTTAAAAACTGCATTCTGACTGCAGCTTCTTCCCTGGTATGTAAGAGAGATCAAAGGAGCATCACTCTCACCCATACAATGAAAAAACCAAATTATCTTAATGGTCACAACTTTTTTTTGAGCCCTCAGAGAGCTGAGGTTGCAGAGCAAACTTCTGGCCCAAAATATGAGGAGAGACAGTCATCTGCAGGGAGAGAGGAAACCCACACGTCCAAGACCAGTAGCAAGTGATCTGACACAGGCATAACTGGACCCCCAGAGGGAGAAAAGAGAAAGAATAGGGCAGAAGAATCATTTGAAGCAATAAGTGCGAGAATTTCCCCAAATCAGTGACAGATATTAAACCACAGTTCCACAAAGTTCGAGCAGGATAAATACAAAAGAACAAAAGCTCACACCTCAGCACATGATGCACACGTTGCTGAAAACGAAAGACAAAGGGAAAATGTTGAAAGCAGCTAGAGTAAAAAGAAACAACACATAGAGACAAAGAAGGATAAGACTTAGAGCAAAAATCTTATCAGAAACCATGCCAGGCAGTGGACAATGCAGTGACATCTTTAAAGAGCTGAAAGAAAAAATATACCCAGCAAAAGAATCTTTCAAATGTGAGGGAGAAATAAAGACCTTCTCAGACTAACCAAAACTGGGAGAATTAATTTCCAGCAGACCCACTGCAAAAGAAATGTTAAAAGTTCTTCAGGCAGAAGGAATATGATAGCAGACTGAAACTCAGATCTACATAGAGAAATGAAGAGTTCAGGCTAAGAGTGGAAGGGAATGTTCCTAACCTGATAAAGGTAACTGCTGAGGTTAACATCATACTTAACGGGAAGGACTGAGTGCATCCTCGCTAATACCTCAGCAAGGACTGGACGTCTCCTCTCCCCACTCCTATTCAACATGGACTTTGAGGTCCTAGCCAGTGTAATAAGATGATAAAAAGAAACAAAAGCAATATAGATTAAAATGGAAGAAACTAAACAGTCTATGTGTGATTTTCTATGTAGCAAATTCCAAAGAAACTACAAACCCTCCTAGAATTAATAGGTGAGTTTAGCAAGTTTGCAAGACACAAAGGTTAAGAAAAAATAAACAAGTTGCATTTCTGTATACTAGGGGTGAGCAATTAGAATTTGAAATAAAAAATAGCATTTACAACAGTAGCCAAAGATTATATCTCTAGG